AAACGAAGCAGAACCAAAGGAAATTGAGCAGTACGTTCCGGCTCATGGCCATGCGAGTCGTGAGTGCGTACAGAACCATTTCGATGGAGGCAGTATGCGTTATCGCCGGTATGATCCTAATCGGCATCACCTTGGCGGAGGACTACGAGTGCTATATGACGAGAGAAACCAGAGGAGTACGAAAAATGGTGAGAACGGAGTCGATGGCTAAGTGGCAGCAGGAGTGGGATGCAGCAGAGAACGGTAGATGGACACACAGGCTAATACCGACTCTTTCGACCTGGGTGAACAGGAAGCATGGAGAAGCCAACTTCCACTTGACGCAGTTCCTGTCTGGTCATGGCTGCTTCAGGAAGTACCTGCATCGGTTCGGACACACAACGTCACCCTTCTGTCCGGAGTGTGGGAATGTGGAAGAATCACCAGAGCACGTGGTCTTCGAATGTCCTAGATTTGATGATGTGCGAGAGGATATGCTCGCCCTTAGCACGGAGAATGTCGTCGAAGAAATGTGTCGAGAGGAGGGCACCTTTAACGCCGTCAGCAGAGCAGTAACGCAGATCATGTCAGCGCTGCAGCGAAAATGGCGGGAAGACCAACTAGAAAGTAGTAATGTGCTCACACAAGTGCGAACTGAAAGCCGAAGCCGGGAGAACTCTCCGTCAGAGTAGGCTGTATCCACCACCAGGGATAACCGAGTAGAACGTGACGCTGGGAGATAAATGGCTCACAAATTGGAGAGACGATCAGCGAACTGGAAGCGCCAATTAGCTGAGGTAAAGTGAGGTGCGTAATGCACGGCCCCCTCCGAAGTAATACGACAAGTGGTTCCGGGGGAAAAGGGCAAGGCGTCTAAGGAGGTTTTAGTGCGGTAAGAATCCCACACACCGTGTCACCGCGACTGTGCGCCCAGTCGTCAAGCGGTGGCACGATGGCCTTTTTGAAGGTTTCCTCCTTGCCAAAAAAAAAAAAAAAAAAAAACACACACACACACACACACACTCACACACACACACACACACACACACACACACACACACACACACACACACACACTCACACACTCACACACACACACACACACACACACACACACACACACACACACACACACACACACACACACACACACACACACACACACACACACACACACACACACACACACACACACACTCACACACTCACACACACACACACACACACACACACACACACACACACACACACACACACACACACACACACACACACACACACACACACACACTCACACACACACACACACACACACACACACACATAGGATCAAATTTGATATCTCTCATAACCATATCAAGTGGCATATCAAATCACATCTACTCGACAAATGGCACTCAAAACAATAATCATAGAGCCATTTGGTCACCCTAGAACCGATTCTGGATATTCCAGATTATGGTTCCATAGGTCAAATTTAAATCTCTCGTAACCATATCAAGCGACATATTAAATCACATCTACTCGACGAAATATGACCAATGTTACTCATAACGACAATCATAGAGCAATATGGCCACCTTAGAACCAGTTTCAGATATTAATTATTATGGTTCCATATGATAAAAATTCAATTCTCTGATAACCATATCTCGTGACATATCAAATCACACCTATCGACGAAACATGACCAACAGCTCCCACCGTAGAACCGGTTTCGGGAATTCCGAATTATGGTTCATGAACTTAAAATTTGATTTCTCTGATAACCGCGACATATCAAATCACATATATTCGACGAAATATTAAATATAAATATTAAATATTAAAACATTAATATATATTATTATATTAAATATTAACGAAAATCACAGACCCATATGGCCACCGTAGAACAGGTTACATATATTGAGGATTATGGTTCTAAATGGTTAAATTTGTTATTTATGTTAACCATATCAAGCGACTTGTCAAATCACATCTACTCAACTAAATATTACCAATAGCTCTAACAATTATTAACCGAGCCTTATTAGAACCGTACAACTGCTTCTAGATATCCCGAATTATGGTTCAACATAGTCAAATTCGTAATCTATCATTGTCATATAAAATCACATCTACTCAACGAAACATGGCCAATGGCACTCAACACAATAATCACTGTGACATATGGCCACCTAAAATCCGATTTAAGGTGATTCCTTGTAGAGTCCACAAATGGCTGCCACATAGGCTATAAATGCACTTCCACCTCGAATTTTCAATTACACAAATCTCGGAAATTAGTGCCCCATTTCACCTGAAATTGCTACTGCATGTATGCTGCAACGCATCAAACGTGGATTAACAGTTTCATTGTGGTACGTGTCGTGGAAGCTGATATTTGTGCACTTAAAGATAAAGATCTCACAGCGAAATACCTTAAGATGAACCGAATAAATATGACATAATACAGATAAACTGAATCCGACAGATCCGAAATCAATATCAACAGAATTTCAGAAACATAAGTGAAAGTGAATCGACGATACACTATGGAGGGGCGGAAATGAAAGCAAGTGCTGGATTAGAACCAGGCAAGATATAGCAGCAGAGGCATCAGTTATGGAAGTGGACCTGCTCAAAGAATACTAAGTTGAGAACTGGCATAAAGTCCCAGAGGGGACGTAACACAGCGAAACACAAATGGTGATAAATGTTTCGTTGAGTAGATATGATTCGATGATGTGGTATGATATGATAATGATTAATCATGAATTTGCATTTGAATCATCAAAAACCTATTGTAAGGTATCAATTAGCTCTATTCATGTTTCCATTGCCACCATAAACAAAAACATCCGAACCAGTTTTACGATGGTCATGCATAACGTTTTGAGTGTCATTGGTCATATTTCATGAACATGTGATTTGATATTTCATGTGTCATAACCATGAAAGACAATCATTTCGACCATATGGAACAACATTCCGGAATATCCAGAGTCATTTCTAAAGCTATGAGAGATACTTTAACCATGTGGAACCATGATCCAGGATATCCGGAACCAGTTCTACGGAGGCCATATGGTTCTATGGACGTCGTTTTGTGTGCCGTTGATCATATTTCGTCGAGTAGATATGATTTGATATCGAACGTGATTGTCGTTTTGAGAGATGTCAAATTTAACCATGTGGAACCGTAATCCGGAACATCTGGAACTGGTTCTACGATGGCAATATCTATGTATGTCGTTTTTCATGCCATTTATCATATTTCGTCGAGAAGATATGATTTGATATGTAGCTTGATATGGATATGAGAGATATCACATTTGGCCATGTGGAACCATTGCCCTGAATATCTGGAACTTGTTTTACGGTGACCATATGGTTCCATGGTTGTTGTTTTAAGTTTCATTCGCTATATTTTGCCGAGTAGATGTTATTTAATGCCGCTTGATATAGTTATGAGTAATATCAAGCTTGACCATATGGAACCATAGTCTGGAATATCCTTAACCGGTTTTATGGTGACCATATGATTCTATGGTTGTCATTTTGAGTGCCATTGGTCACATTTAATCGAGTAGATGTGATTTGATATGTCGCACGATATGGTTAAGAGAGATAATAAATTTGAACATATGGAACCATAATCCTGAACATCCGGAATCGATTCCAAGGTAGACATGGGTTCTTATGATTGTTCTCTATTATTTTCTCGAGTTCAAAGAAAAATATATATTTTCTCGAGTTCAAAGAAAAAAGAGCCTGCGGGGGAGTACCACCCAACAGATGTAAGAACCACTCACCGGAATGATGTTAAAAAAAATTCAATTTAATCAGCCATAGAATTTCAGAGATACAATTTTTTGAAAATAAAAAGTTTGTCCCGGGCTTTTACGGGTTAAGTGTGTGACATCCAATTGTAACCTTTAACTTGAAAGCTTGATAAGATAGAAGGTTGTTGTCTTTGGCAAATTTGTTAAGAAGAATAAGAAATGTTGGATGGTGAGCAGATCAAACCAATGTTAATTCACCAGCGGAGCTAGTATCTCATATGGCTTTAAGTTGCTTGCTTAGCTTAACTGCTCGAATAGATAGAAGGTTGCTGTCTTTAGCAAAGGTGGATTAGACCTTTTGGATGGTGGTCTGATTATTTGAAAGTAAAGGGTTATGTCCGAGACACAATTACCCTTTTCACTGAAAGGACTATGCGCAAAACAATTGTAACGACCTATCGCATGTATCACATATTTGCAAAACATTATCACAAGAAATAGTTTGTTAGCAAAGTTTAAACAAGATATGTAGCATCACACTATGGGAAACGTTTCCAATTTTGCTAGAAAAAACTCTCCTTCTTTAGCTCAGAAATCAACATGATGTTTTCTAAAGATCTTGCTAACAATGAATACCTCTAACGAGATTTCAAGTTTACTCACTATTGATCATGAATGCTGGATCTGAGATTAATTTATTCAACATAAATTCCAAACTAACCACTTTCGTTTTCGTTGTTGTATCGAATTAAACTTTGCCATCTCTTTCTTCCGTTAACAACTATTTTCCAATTTATTTCACCATATTAAGTGACACCGCATGCATGGTTAATTTATCGATTCCATTACACACTCTAATCCAAATGCATTTAATCGCACCCTCCCAGAGAGACGTGACTCTCCAAGTGGTAACAACCAACGAACGTAACAGGCATCCACCTGGAAACTCAAAAGCAACAATCAAAATCACACCGGTCAATCACGGAGCACCCATCAAAGACACACACTCACTTTTGATCGCACTCGTTTTTATTAACTGTTAATGCTTTTCCGTGGAACGTGAGTAGTTTTTTTTTTATGTCGGTACGATGTTTGAACTGAATCAGACATGACGGCAGAGAAATAGACAGTCGAAAAACGGCCAAACTAATTACGAGATAAAATCGGAGAAACCGATTCGCGCGTCACATGTCCGTCCTCCATCCGATCCGCAAACAAAACAAAAAACAAATAATCGAGAAATTGAGAACTAACCTGGTTCCGTCGGCAGGCAGATCGGCCGGATGAAATCGGTTATCGGGACACGGTCGTTCAGCCGCAGCAGGGCGATGTCGTTGTCAAAGTTGAGGAAGCTGAACTTTTGTGCGATGGCTCGAAGCACGAAGCGGGTCTCCGGCCGAACCGAATCGTCGCAGCGGTTGTGCTCCCCAAACGTTACCTTGATCATGAACCACATAAAGCTGCACCGAAGGAGGAGAAACGGATCAATGTCAATCAAACGCCATCACGTGCTACCGGGCTTGCACTAGATTATGGATCGATATACTAACCCTTTGACGCAGTGGGCTGCCGTCAGTACGTAGCGATCGTTGATCAGCATTCCGCCGCAGTAGAATCGATTGAAGTAGCTCAACCGTGCCATCCAGGGGAACTCGTTGATCCCCGTTGGCTGACCGCCAACGATTCGCGAAGCGTCGTTACGTTCGCCGCAACCTGTGATGAAGAAGAATAGGGAGAAGGATTAACACTCATGTAGGTTTGTGCGGAAAAGAGCCCTGAAGAAATGGTGCAAACCACAAATAAACATCTGTTCGGGGTAAAGTTGTTGGGAGAAAGATAATCATATAAACATGTGTACCCTTTTATGTCCGAACTTGGAATGCGTATACACTAAACACTATCTTCTAAACTCGGTACATATTTACATATAGCCATGAATATGTTAGCCATAGGGATGCTTGCCATACGTATGATTGCCATAACAAGCGTTACCCATAATATTTTTGTAGTGGATTGCAATGCAGTACCCGTTAGGGGCTGTTCATAAACTACGTATACTCTTTAGGGGTGGACAAATGTCTAAGGTCCATACAGATTTCTAAAAAAATGTATGAACGATTGTCTAAGCGGGGGAGGGGGAAGGGGGATCTGAAACCTCTAAAAATTGGTCTACGCAGTTTATGAACAGCCCATTATACCGTATGCGTGATAATGTTTGCACCATCGTACAAATAAGGTTCCCGTTTCACCTGTGCATACAATGCCTTGGTTTTCTTTGCATGCACGTAACCTATATCTCATACCGTAGTAGGCTGTGTATAAAAGAAAATGATTTACTTAGTTTAACAGTTGCACCATGACGAAGTGGCAGCGTATTCGTGATTTGTCCCACGCGCTAATGTCGCAAAAAGACATTTCAATCACCGTGAGAGTGTTCCGGTGGACCGTCCAAAGAGTTTTAGACCGAGAAAAGAAAGGACAACTCCCTAGTGGCACACTTGTCACAAATCAATTGTAGAAACTTATATACGACTTATTTCAGTCATAAACAAGTTGCTGTAACTTATTGTGATGAAAGTGTGCTACTCGGGCTATCCGCGAAGGTGGCCACAGGACGTCCGAGGTCAGCTCGGGTTCCGAAGGTTTATCGCTGCTATCAAAAGGAAGATTCGGGTGAATCCAGTGTGTTCAATAAGGAAAATGACAAAGGAACACGAGATCAGTGACTTTACGGCACGGAAGATCGTAAAGGAAGATTGCGGGGCGAAGTCGAGGGCACGGAAAAAAAACTCACATGATTACAAACCGTATCCGGGAGCTATGAGACGAACGATGCAAGAAAATCTTGAACTACCTTAAGAGAAAAAATCCGGTAATCCTGTTCACCGACGAGAGCATAATTACTGCAGATCCCGTATCAAATTCCAGAACCGACCGGTATATTAGTTCTCTTCCGGTAAAAGACGTGGCCGACGAGCACAAGAACGTGTATCTGACCAAGCATCCTGCTAGCGTTATGGTGTTTGGATTGGTGGTTTCCGATGGCCAAAAAAATGGACCCGGTGTTCATTTCAGAAGGCGACAAGGTCAACACGGAGGTCTACATCAGGATTTTAAGTAAGTATGTTCTTCCGTGGATCAAAGAACAGTACGGTCCGAAGCCAAATGTTGTAGTTCAACAAGATGGGGCTCCGTGCCACACCTCGAACCGCACTCAGAAGTGGTTGCAGAAACATCTTTTGTTATGGACGAAGGATATGCGGCCACCATCCAGTCCTGATATTATTCCGCTGGATTACTCAATATGGCGCGTCATGAAGGCCAAGACCTGTTTTAAACGCCACCCGAGTACAGCAAGCCTCAGACAAACATTGACCCGTACCTCTAGAGAAATGGATCCAGAATAAATTATTAGAACCTGCCGTGCATTCCGGAAGCGTGTGGAAGCCGTAATTGCAGCAAGTGGAAACTCGATCGATGATTAACATAGTTGAGAAACATCCCCCCTTTGAATGAATAAAAAAAAATCAAAAACAAAATTTTTGAGAATTTTTTCTTTTAATTTTGACATTGCTCAATTATTGTGACACTGCACAGCTGTATCGAGTCCCTCCCGATAAAGGTAACTAGGGGGTGGATAGAGCTGGGATGGCTGCACTACAAGTTATGGGTAGATACCCCATTCAAGAAGAAGGTTTCGTGATCGCCAAAATTAACGGAATATTCAGATGCAGTTGCTACGCACCCGATGGACGATGGAGCAGTTCCACGAGACGCTGGTTGGACTTACCGAAGAGCTGATCGAACGAAGACCGGTAGTCATCGGAGGAGACTTCAATGCTTAGGCAGTGGAGTGAGGAAACAGATGTACCAACGTAAAAGAAAACATTCTACTGGAAGCTCTGGCGAAGCTGGAAATTAGGCTGTTCAATAAAAGTACCACCAGCACTTTTCGCAGAGATGGACGGGAATCCAATATCGACGTCACTTTATGCGGACTGCAGTCCGTCGCTGGTGGAAAACGTGAATAGTGTGTGAAGGATATACCCATAGTAACCATCAGGCAATCCGATATGTCATCGGCCAACGGAATCCTGTGGCAGTACTGAGGACGAAAACTTGCGGCCTGAAGTGGAAGACGAGTTGGTAGAATCGTTAGGGAGAGCATGTGACACGACCATGCCAAGGAAACTGGAGCTAAATAACAGAGGGCATCCAGCTTACTGACACGAGGCAATTAGCACCCTCCGCGCTAGTTGTCTCAGAGCCAGAAGACGTGTTCAGAGAGCAAGAACAGAAGAAGTCACCAACGAGCAACTCGTAGCAGTGTCTGCTGGAAACACTCGGAAAACTCTTGGAGAGGATCATCCTAAACAGGCTGACAAAATGTACGGAGAGTGAGTAAGGATTGGTGGAGAGGCAGTTGGGATTTCGAAAAGGAAGAGCAAAAGTGGATACAATTCGGACAGTTGTTGAGAGAGCCGAGAAGGCGTCGAAACAGAAGTGGAGATTTACGAGCCAAATATGGAACAGAGATCAATTATTATTACAGTGGGAATTCCACAAGGTTCCATCCTTGTTCCAACCATAGAGGTAACTCTAATACTAGTAGGTCCCGAAGAAACGTGCTCAACTTTTTGGCTCAGCTCTGGTTTTTAAAAGAAAAAATGCTTTTAAAAATTCTATCATAAAATACTCATAAATTATGTTGCTCTTGGAGTTAACTCCTTCTTTGTATCTTGAGCTGTTTTTTGACCGATAAAAGTTTTTGAAAATTTTATCTGAAAATTCCCTAATGTAACATCTTTCTTGGATTTGACTGCTTCTTTACAGAATGAGCTGTTTTTAACAATTTTTTATAATGAAAAATTCAATTGAAATATTGAAAAATTAATGTCTCTTGGAGTTGACTACTTTTTTATAGCTTGAGTTGTTCGTTGATGGATTCTTTTTTTAAGAAAAATTCAATTGAACTTCTCGTAAAAAAATGTTCTCTTGGAGTTGACTCCTTGTTTACAGCATTAGCTGTTCTTTGACAGATAAAATAGTTTGTAAAACTAAATTGAGATGATCACAAATCATTTCCCTCTTGGAGTTGACTCCTTCTTTGTATCAGGAGCTGTTACTTGACAACCAATCAGAAGTCCAATGGTACATAACTGCCGACATATATGAGAATTTTGATCTAAGTTGTTCAGTATTGTACAATAGGACTTATACATCTGATTAACTTGACTAAAGTCAGCAACCTCCTACTTAGTTGAAACACTTAAAAGAAAACTAACTCAGATAGTGAGTCACTTTTACTGATTCATGTGGAGAAATTTCTACCGTATGCATGATAATGTTTACACCATTGAGCAATTTCAAAATTAAAAAAAAATTATCAAAAATTTAGTTTTGGAGTTTTTTTTTTATTTATTTTAAGGGGGGATGTTTCTCAGAGTCTTAAACTATGTTGATCATAAATCGAGTTTCCACTTGCTGCAATTACGGCCTCCACACGCTTCCAGAATGCACGGCAGGTTCTAATAATGTAGTCTGGATCCATGTCTCTCCAGGTACGGGTCAATGTTTGTCTGAGGCTTGCTGTACTCGGGTGGCGTTTAGAACAGGCCTAGGCCTTCATGACGCGCCATATTGAGCAATCCAGCGGATTAAGATCAGGGCTGGGTGGCGGCCACATATCCTTCGTCCAGAACGGAAGATGTTCCTGCAACCACTTCTGAGTGCGGTTCGAGGTGTGGCACGGAGCCTCATCTTGTTGAAATACAACATTTGGCTTCGGACCGTACTGTTCTTTGATCCACGGAAGACCATACTTACTTAAAAGCCCGATGTAGACCTCCGTGTTGACCTTGTCACCTTCTGGAATGAACACCGGGTCCATTTTTTTGCCATCGATAGCCACCAATCCAAATACCATAACGCTAGCAGGATGCTTTGTCAGATATACGTTCTTGTGCTCGTCGGCCACGTCTTTTACCGGAAAAGAACTAATATACCGGTTGGTTCTGGAATTTGATACGGGATCGACGATAAACATGCTCTCGTCGGTGAACAGGATTACCGGATTTTTTCGGTTCCGTTCGGAAGTTCAAGATTTTCTTGCATCGTTCGACTCGTAGCTCCCGGATGCGGTTGGTAATCATGTGAGTTTTTTCCGTGCCCTCGACTTCGCCCCGCAATCTTTCTTTACGATCTTCCGTGCCGTAAAGTCACTGATCCCGTGTTCCTTTGCCATTTTCCTTATTGAACGCACTGGATTCAGCCGAATCTTCCTTTTGATAGCAGCGATAACCCGAGCTGACCTCGGACGACCTGTGGCCACCTTCGCGGATAGGAATCACGAATACGCTGCCACTTCGTCATGGTGCAATTGTCAATCTAAGTAAATCATTTTCTTTTATACACAGCCTACTACGGTATGAGCTATAGGTTACGTGCATGCAAAGAAAACCAAGGCATTGTATACACAGGTGGGATATTGGGTAATAGGGTTGGGTTTGCAGCAGGGTTCGTTTTGGTAAACGATAAGCTGAATTGATGTCCTAACAATCATATAACGCGAAGGAGCTTGGGATTGAACCCACGGTCTTCTGCTCAGTAAGCAGAAACGTTTGCCACTAGGCAGACGAGCTCCTTTTTTTATCATCGAGTTGCTGTTATTACCATGTAGTAATGTTAACAAATAAAACGATTGACGAATCTTG